TTAAACATGTGGCCTATTGCTATTCAAGTACATGCCCTGAAGGACACCACAGATGTGTCAATGGGACATATTTACATAAAATAATGCATGCCATGTGTTTCCCTGACATGCAATGGGTACCTCTTGGGGAATGGAAATTAATTAAACAGCATAAGCCACAAGATCCTAGTAATAGGGATTATATCTTTGTTTATGCAGTACCTAGCACAATGCAACCTGTTACTGAAATGGGCACTACTGCAATATGAATGTAGCAGGGCTCTGGGATGTGCCTCTCCTTTAAGAGAGCAAGGGGGAGTTAATAAGGGGCTCACCTGACTGGAAGAGGGCTCTGGCTTGAGCTATATAAGCCCAGAGCCTGTACCAGTCAGGTAGTCTCTTCCCAGCAACCATGAAGTGAGGAGCTCCTGGCTGCAAGCCTGCAGGACTTCTGAAAGGACCTGGATTTTGCAGAACAACTCTGCCAGTCTGGGAACAGAGGCAAGTTCCTGGGGCTGAGAAAGGCTGGGTTTTACAGGCAAGTGGCCTTTATGTTAAACCTCTAGAGGGCTTGAGGTGCCTGCCAAAGGGCTGAGATACTTTTTGTTTATTTGACTTACACTGGTAGTTTAGCCTTGAACCTTGCTGGGGCAGGCTCAAGGCCTATCTAGAGAACTGGTAACCCAAAAGCTCTCAGACTGAAGGTAGGGCCCAGTAGGAGGTCCCAGTGCCTAGAAAAAGGCTGAGACCCAGACCAGAAGGTCCAAGAGCCCCAGGGAAGGGCTGAGCCAGGCCAGAGGGTCCACAAACCCTGAATGGGCTAACCTAGACTAGAGGATCCAAGAGCCCAGAGGAGGAGCTGCATATGGGACCAAGGATCCAAGAGTCTAGAGGAGGGGCTGTTTGTGGGACCAGTGGTCCAAAAGTGCAGAGAGAGACTGTGTAAGGGGCCAGTGGATGGCAAAACCCCAAGGGGGCTGAGTATATAAATAGTTCAAATCAGAGGAAGAACATATGTGAGTCTTGGGGTGTGGTGTAGGGGAGGAAATGGATCCATACATTGAGCCGTTAAGGCTACGGGTGCACTGGAGGGGCACAGGTATGCATGTAGCCCTCAAAGCTACAGGGGCCCTGCAGGGGCCCAGCCCAGCCAAGAGTGTCTATTCAGCTGAAGGGTTGAATCAAAGCCAGTGGGGGGATCCAGGAGAGACCCAGTGGTACTGCAAGTGGACTAAGGCTCATATTAAGCCAGTGGGCAGCCTCCCTTATTCAACCTCTAGTAAGAACAAGGCATGGCAGGAGAGCAATTAAGAGAGGGCTGTAATAGTGATTGAGCTGGGCAGGAGTCATATGGCCACCAGGGGACTTCCTGGCTGCCCCTGGGGCACAAACCTGTCACAGTGAAGTAATAATACCACACTTGAACAGGAAAGCTATGGTGCTGCCAAGTCAGGAGCCTGGCATTGTCAGTGGATGCCCTCTGCTTTCATGATACGAAATGATATATCACTTGCTGCTGAAACTCACAAATATGTAGCAAAATAGATAAAGGATGCTGGTGTTTGGTGAATCAAGCTCCAACAGTGGCAACTGATAGGTGTCAGCCATCTGCAAAGCCTCCCCTCCCTCAGAAAACAAAAAACAAAAATCAATGTCAGGCACAAGGACATAGTTGCTGCAGCTCCACAAACCTGACTGAGTTTCCTCCTATGCTGAAAAATGGCATCCCACTGAGGAGGAAGGATCATAAATAGGGAGGGGAGAGAGACTAGGAATATGGAAAAAGAAAAAGGCTCGAGCAATTTTGATCAGTAACACTATTGCTGTAACCTGAATAGAAGATCTGTAGCATAGAGACCAGATCATCACTTGCTAAATGCTCCACTGACTTCAGGATACAGCTGCACCAATTTATACTAAGGACCTGAATCTCAGCTGGTATCATCTCCAAAACTCAGAGTAATCTTGCATCATTTCTGAGCTCAATTCTTCTGAAAGATACAGTGGTGTCATTATAGAACATATCTGTTTAAAATGTTAGTTTGATTTTTTTTTTTTTTTTCCCTAGTGGAAATCAGAGCAGAATTTGCCTTTTTGTCTCTTGAATGCAAGCAACAAAATGTTCTTTGCTGCCAACGCTAGCATCAGTGACATAATGCCAACTTATCCTATATACGTTCTTGGAAAACAAGCATTCCACATAGCATTTATCTTTTAATTTTTACAATACTTAAAACAGCAGGCCATCTTTTAAAACTTTCTTATTTACATTAAAGTTGTGTGTCTTGAACTCACAGAATACAAAACATTTTAACAGGGGACATGGAAGGGAGTCAGGAGAACTGTATAGAAAAGGGAATGGTGGAAGGGATGTTTAGAAAAGGTTGCATTCATAAGTTCATTACTTTCTGGAAGGTTTTATTTAACAAACCTTAAAGGTTTGTAAATCTACTGCACACAGGTGTTGTTTCTAAAGTGATTTCCAAATGGTCAGTTTCAGATCTTTTTTCTCCTCGAACAACCACTCTTACAGATTTCTTGGTACCCTGCTTCACTTTAACTTGGAAGTTATTCTCAAAGGACACATTTTCTTGAGTAGTGCACTCTATAGTACTTAACCTTTCAGGACAGCATTTTGGATAGTTCTTAAAGCATTCAAAAGTATCATTGCACTTTTCACAAGGGAGAGAGGGGGAGCATCCTTCTACTGTCTGCACAGAGTTACAGCTGGATTCATTTCGCCCTTTAAATGTTCTCAGGCTGACCTCCAGAACTGATCTGTAGCTGCAGTTCGGTAGGGCTTTGAGACAAAAGCAAGTCCTGATGCATAATTGCTGAAGATCTGCACAATCTTGGGCAATGGTATTTCGGAAATGAGGCCTCAGGAGAAGATAAACAACAGGGTTGTAGAGTGTTGAGGATTTTGCAAAGACAGCTGGCACCACAAAAATTAGCGGAGAAATCCTCTCCATGGATCCAAAGACCGCCCACATGGCTATGATAGCATATGGACTCCATGCAGCAAAAAATCCAGTGCATACAGCAACACTCATCTTACAGTGCAGAGAAAGAGAGAGAGAGGAAAAAGAAGTACAGTAGTATTAATTAAAAGCATGTATGAGAAACATACTTTCAAAACAATGCATTTATAAGACATCAATTTAGGTATTTGTACTGCTAAAATGCCTCTCCATGCTTTTCATGACTTTACTCTCCACAAGGCTACTTTATACCTGAATAATTGTTTCAGAGGAAGGCGAGAAGCCCATCACATCTGGAGCCTTTTGAGGGCAGGTCTGCCATCTTAATCCCATCTCTATTTACACTTCTCAAGTTATACAAGCAAAAACACTCACTTATAAACAGCTGATGACAATTTAAGGATCAGAAGAATTTTTTTCCTGACTTTCAACACCGCCAGGCATCCCCACCTGCTGGTCCAAATCCTTAGTTTATATTGAATTTACTATGTATAGAATTCCTTTCGTTTGTTAATTTGTCTCTTCTGTTGTCTCTCTAAAGACTTCTTATAACAATCTCATTACATAAACAAATATATAAATAACTCAAGGGGAGTTCCACACAGCTGGCTGATAAATTAGTTGGACTACTGACTCTGAACACAATTAGTTTTTCTAAAAGCACTTAAAACAATTAAACTAGCAATTAAACTAAATTTAGCAATTAAACTAAATTGCATGCTAATGTATATGAACTGCTGATATACCATTGATTGTGATAGTAAAATAGTCTTTGTGTAGTTTTGATAACTGTTTTTAAAAATGTTAAGCGACTCTTTTAAAATTGATATACCACAATATCAGAGTAAATACTAAAACCACAGTAACAATTTTAACCCATTGGGTTAGAATACAAGGCAGTCGAAGGGAAAGAGACTTAACAGTGGGG